GTCGTCACCGCCCGCCACCGACTCTTCTCGATGAGAACGGTGACGTCCACTATCACGTAGAACGTCTAGTGAGACGACGTAGTCACCAGGGTCAGACCCAATATTTGGTGAAGTGGCGGGGATATCCCGACTCCAAGAACTCGTGGGAGTTTGTGACGCTACTTCGGCAAGATTGCCCAGACGCCGTGTGCAGCGGGACTGCCATAGCTTTGCGCTTGAGGAAGCGTCTTTAGGCTTTCGTTCTTTACAAGCACCAAGTACTTGTGCAGCGGATAGCAATCCGCTCCCTCTAAAAGTACTTAAAAGCCTTAACCAAGGCAATCGAACACTTCTGTTCATAATCGAAACTGATTTTTATTTATATTTTTATCCTATGTTAAAAGTTTAGCTCTTACTAAATACACTAAATATATAGTAAAATCTAAATACATTCACAACTACTGGCTACCTAGCCCCGTCCGTATTCTTGTTTGGGTGTGTTGTCACATCATGCACATGTCGTGTGACACGCACACACCCCTGTTATTAGTGTTCGTGTAACCCCGTTACACCAGCCCCGCTCCTTCCGGCAATAGCCAGGGAAGTAGAAGAGCCATGAGCTGAGCTCAAGCGGTGGCCCTGAGCTCTTGCGGTTGCAGACACAGAGCTCGCGGGAGCGTTAGGGATTGACCCATGTGTCGCAGGGCGACAATCTGAAGGGAGTCGACGGCGTGCTTTTAGTTTAGCAAACTCAGATCGGAGGTGGCGCTCCACACGCACGTCTACTTCCTTGTGCTCAACTGTATGGCATACAGTGAAGAAAGTTTGCGGTGCCGTTGCACCCATCGCTCAAAGAGCGCTTCGTCATCTGTTGCACTTTCGTCAGGGGCGAGCATTACAGGTATCGTCCGCATTGTGAATACACGAGAGCCACCTCGTTGAGCACTCAGACGAGTGCGATAAGCTTCCAACGGAAATTCTTGTGGAAACTAAGAAATGAGCTCGAAGAGCTTTCCGTCCGGCAAGCTCATCTTCTGTAATGGCCGGGGGGCCGATGATGTGGAGGCGCAACGACCGAGTTACCACGTCCTTCGCTTCCACAACGGGATCCGCCGGGAAGCCATATCCCACACGAAGGTCAATGACCTACCGGTGATGGGCGCGCATCAGAGCCGCCTTACGGGCAGCTTCCAGCTGCCGCATCGGTGCCTTATCGAGGTCATTGGCGATCACACCACGTTCCTCAGGTGACGAGAAGTCAGGAAACGGACAAAGGGTCCGCAAGGCGCGAGCACGGCTCGCCTTCCTCGTCAATCCATCCGGGAAAAGGAGTGTCAGACTCGTAGTCGACGTTAGCTTGCGCGGAGCGCGATTCTCGGGCTCATCAAGCCTAGATTTTACATCCCTCGGTGCCGCGAAGACACGGTCCGACATGGCACCGAATGCGGGAGATGAAGCTGGGCTCTGCCCGTGAGCGCTGTCGGAACCAGCAAGACTTGGAGGCTTCGGTGTCATTGGCACAGGGCTCATTGAGCACGGAAGTCGTTTTGTTCCAACGCAGTGTCTAACGGAAACGCAAGCCTCGTTTAAGGGAAAAATTGATTGGAACTGTAAATGTTTACAATCCTAATGGGAGAGAGTGTAACGGGGTTACACATACCCTGGTAACAGGGATATGTATCACACCGGAAGGGCATGGTGTGACTACACCCAAACAAGAATACTGTACAGGGCTGGATAGCCAGTAGTTATACATGTATATAGATTTTACTATATATATTTGGGAAAATCTATGCTTTTAAAATTAGGCGGCTTTGCCGCAGATAGAAATAAATAAAGTCAGTTTTAAATTTTAACCGAAGAGTTAATTAGCCTTTGGTTAAGGTTGTAATTACTCTTGGAGTAAGCGGATTGCGATCCGCTACACTCGTACTTGTTCTAAGTAAAGAACGAAAGGTCGGTGACCTAACTTACGCTTCCTTTAAGCGCAAAGCTGTGGCAGCCCCGCTGCAGGGTGCATCTCCAGATAGTACATCCGCGGCTTTACGGGAAGCACATCTTAAGCAACAGCAACCGGGCGTGTGTGTGTGAATTTCTCGTCGAGGATTCGGAGGAAGTCGACTACGAGTTAGATATCCTGGAAAGACGAGGAGGATGAAGTGCGCCAACGGCGCGATGTAAGCCCAGCTCAAACCTTGCGGACACCATGGCCGTTCTCCGACCTCTCGACTTTCGGAGGAAGTGATATGATTACCAATCGCCTCTATGAGGCACAGGAGCAGTAGTTGGAGGCTGACCCTCATGCGCTCGTATCCACATTCGGTCCAGGACCCTCGTGTGGAATACGGCTTCTGCTCAGCGGATCTTGCTACTGAAGCGAAAGACGCAATCACTCGATCGTTAGGCCTACGTAGACGCGCCTTGGCTACTACACAAGCTGAGCTTGGCAAGCGGAAAGCTCTGCGAGCTCGCTTCTTGGAACCACAAGAAATTTCAATGGATAGGTAACGCGCTCGACTTTGAGCTCAAAAGGAGGCGCTCCTGTGCCCGCAATGCGGACGATTCCAGTGATGCTCGCCCCTGGTGAAATCGCTGCAGATGGTGAGAAGTTCTTTGAGCAATTGGTGCAGCGGCACCGGAACTGTCTCACTTCGGAGCCCCAGTGAGCATGCGCGTAGAACGCCGTCTTAATACTGAGTAATTCAAGGCGCAACGCCGACTTCCTGCGTATCGCCGCCCTGAGTCATATAGAATTATCCATAACGCTCCCACGACCTTTATGGTCTCTCACAGGGGTAGTCTACGACTACAGTGGCTCAGGTCCATAGCTTGAGCTCAGCTTATGGCCCTTCGGCTTCTGGGACTACTGCCGGGAAGCGTGGGGCGTACGACGACGCGGAGCGTCATGAAATGATCCCTCTGATCATAAGCGTTCATGACGTCTGGGCAGTCTCGCCGAAGTGGCACCTCAAACTTCCACGAGTTCTCGGAGTTTAGGTATCACCGCCACTTCACAAGATGTTGGGTTTGACCCTGTCGACGACGTCGACCCACAAGACGTTCTACGTGATAGTGAACGCCACCAATCTCATCGAGAAGAGTCGGCGGCGGACGATGACGACTTAGTCGATCGGCATCCGGTGGCTCGCGATGCTCTTCGAGCTCTGGAAGACAAAATCCATCGCGATCGAGACTCCGCTGTGGATCGTGTCGGGGCTGCACACCGCTGTGCGGAAACCCTCGAGAGCCTGGAGCAATTTATGCACTGGCTGCCTCACGTTGAGGGCTATCGCGCTCCATCGGAGCGGCTCCTAGCCGTCGGGCAGACAAAAACATCAATTCGTGCGACGGTAGAGCGCCTGGCGTCATTGGAACCGAAGATCGCTGTAATCCCTGCTCAAAACCAGTTGCTGGCTCAGCTTT